CAGTGCATGGATTTGGGGGATGCAAATACGCAGCCCACACCTGGAGAGAGATGTGTGGACTCTGCAGTCTCAGGGTGTGGGGACCCTGTCCCGCCACTTCATGCCTTTGGCCTTTGGCAGTTGCCTGCCCTCTAGGAGGCTTCCGGTCTGTCACGCAGGAGCCCTCCCTGCTGAGGAGGATGGGCAGACGGTTGGGCTGACGGCCTGCTAGGCCATCACCAAGTGTGGGCCAGCTGGTCTGAAATCAGAGAAACTTGAGTCCGTCCTTCAGCTGGCTGCTCCCCAGGGGTGTTTGTGTTTCTCTTTCTCGTGAGGGCTGGGGATGACGCTGCCGCCACTGCTGTCAGCTTGGCCTTGGGGCCGGTGGGTAACAGCGTCCCAACATCTCCAGCTTCTCCCCAGAACCCTGCTTTGCCCTATACAGGGAGGTCTGGTCAGCAAAGTCTGGTCTTCCAGAATGCTCTGAAACCCCTCCCCCTGTTCATTCTGGGGTACAGGTGGGACCTCTTCTCAGCCTCCCTCCCTTTCCATGTCAAGACCTCCAGATGCCTGTTCTCTGCGTCCGTTTTCTTCCATAAGCCCATTTCCTGATTTTCATTTGTCTTATTTGTGTCTTTAGTAATCGGTTTCTGGGCAACAAATTGCCTTTAAAAAGCTTCTCTGGTTGTCCTCCTTAGCACGTGCTTTCTCCGTGCTGAAGTGCTGGATAAGCTTGAGCCCAGCACACCACCTCACAGAGTGGCCTCCCCGGGCCTCTGGGCTCTGTCAGGCGGGGACTGGGTCCAGTACCTCCACCTGGCACAGGGTACGAACATGGAAAGTGCTCGGTGAGGTCATCACGTCGTAGTGCTTGAGAATCTTGTGGGGCGGGAGGCACTAAGCCTTGCGTGGATTAGCATTACTGTAACTGGTTTTACTTCATTTAATTGGCATTTAATTTGCATAGCGGTGCTTTGAAGGTTTCACAGGTGGGAAAGTTGGGGTGCAGAGAGATGAGGAGGACCCTGTAACCATCTGGGTGGCAGAGCTGGGATTACAAGCCCATTTCCCCTACCGCCGAAGCCTGCGCCTTTAACCTCCATTCTATGCTGTTACTACCTTAATCGGCAGTGTTTTCATTGGATGCTTAGGTTATTTTTTTAAGAAAAGATGATTATGTCATGGAGGCAGGGCTGTGCTCCAGACTGCTTTGTCCATAGTGGGTGTTCCAAAGTGTTTCCTTGAAGAGAAAGCGTCTCCTATAATTCTCCGGAATAACCTGAAGTATAGCTGGCATCCAAATATATGAAATTCTTTTCCTGCCAGTCACATTTGCCACTTGCAAACTTTATCTCCTACTTAGCACCTGCTCCCATGTCCGTGTCTGGGCTTTCAGCCAGCCACCTGCAGTCCTGTCTTCCCCGGAACGACTTGCCTTCTGAGTTTTTAGATGCAGCCTGTCTTCTCGGACCTCAGCCTCTTGTGCCAGGTTGTTCCACAGCCTGTCCCTAGAGCCTCCTGGCTCCCTCTCAGCCCTGGCCTCCTTAGGCTGTCCTGCCTACTGTCCTCCGGCCAACACCTTTGGCCCACTAGCCCTTTGGCACCCCACCCGGCCCAGTTCAGTTCTCCTGCCCGTCTTTGTCCTGCCGGCACCCCAGACTGCCGAATGTGCCGTGAGAACAGAGGCTCACAATGTGCAGGTTGGAATCACTCCAGATTCACGCTGGAATTCTCCAGCCTCTGAGGCCCTCGGTGGTGCTTGGAAGTCCCTCCTCCCGATCCCCTAGGCTCTCCAGAGACTACTTCAGCCCCTTTTTGACTCTTTTCTAACATATGACCCTGCCCCACCCCATTCATCCTCGGCAGCTAACCTTGCCCTTCTTCTTTTTTTTTTTTAATTTTTTAACATTTTTATTTATTTTTGAGAGAGACAGAGAGTGAGCGGGGGAGGGGCAGAGAGAGAGGGAGACGCAGACTCTGAAAGGAGGCCCCAGGCTCTGAGCTGTCCGCACAGACAGTTCGACCCAGGGCTCGAACACACGAACTGCGAGATCATGACCTGAGCTGAAGTCGGACGCTTAACTGACTGAGCCACCCAGGCGCCCCCTAACCTTGCCCTTCTGCACAGAGGACAAACCAACCCTCGGGACCACTCTCCCCTCCTGCCACCGTATCCAGAAACTACCTTGTACTGCCAACCATGGAAGCCTCCTGTAATGGTGGAGGGGTGCCTTCCTCTCTGCCCTCCTTGCCATGAAGCCTTTCCCATCTACACAGATAAGCTCTCTCTCCAACCACTGTCACTGTCCCCTTCCAGCTGGCACTGCCATTTTCTTGCCCTTTACACATGGACCTCTCGGAGGGGTTTTCTTGCTGCCCCATCGCTCACTTGCCCCTCACGCCGTGAGACTAGCTCATCCCGTCTCTGTGCTCACCCAGTACTTCCTCATCACGAAATCCAGTGCATATTTTTCAGCTCTTATTTTCCTTGCCTTCTCAACCTTTTGACATAGTTCAGCACTTGTTCTCTTTTTCTTTTTCCTCTGGTCTCTGGCTGCTCTTCTCCAGCCCTTTTGTTTTATGTGCCTTAAATGTTGGCCTTCTTCAGGCTTCTGGCCTATGCTTCTGTCTTCACTTACACGCTGTCCTTGGATGCATGTCCTTAAACATGCCAGTCCCCTGTCCTCCAGTATCCTGCAAATGCCCGTGACTTTGAATTGCTGGCCACAGCTCAGACCTGTCTTCTGAGCTCCAGACCTGCTGCCCACAGACTCTTCTACTTACATTTCTCCCAGGCATCTTACGCTCACTATACGCACAGCTGAATGCTTGATCTGTTCTGTAATAGTCTGTATCTCAGGAAATGGTTCCACCAACTCTTGGGTCACCCAGCCTGCAGCCATCGGTGTCCCGGCCTCCTCATGTCCTACTTATTTCTGTTGCCCCCTAAATATCTCCAGTTGGGTGCATCTGTCTGCCCTGCTGCTTGCACCGGGATTCTCTCAGCCACATGAGTGCCCATCTCTGAGCTGGTCTACCCGTGGGGGTCCCAGCCTCCTCCAGGCCCTTCCACCCAGCGCAGTCAGTGTGGACTCCACAGTGCAAGTCTGGTGGTACCCTCCCCACACTTGTGTGCAGTCTGGCCCTCCCCTTGCCAACGCCATCCGGCCCTGGGCCGCGTCTCACACTGCTCTCACCACTGCCGTGGGGTCCTCTCAGCTGAACTTGCCTGCATCTCGGGAAGCCGTGTCCTCCCCCATCTCTGGGCATCCACACACCATAGCCCCTCTGCCCTGTGTATTCTTGACCTTCCTCCACACGGCAAAGCTTTCCTGACTTGTGTTTTCTTCTGTCCCCCTGGGAGCCTCCCGGGCCTGGCCGTGCATGCCCAGTGTACCCTGTGCTCTCCTGCAGCAAAGGACTTGCCCCCCTGTGCTGCATGTGCCCTCTCCTCACCTGCGTACCCTGCCGGATTTTGAGTGCCTGGAGGACCAGGGTCTCTGCTTGTTCATAATTGTCACCCCAGCATTTTGCTCCAGGCCAGGCGTAATACCTGCTCAGATGGTGGTTGGAGCCTAACTGAAGAATGTGGTCTTTAGGTTCACAGATGCACTTATGATGTGTTTCGGAGATAAAGTTCCTATACTGTTACTCAGGCTATTTTAACCATTCCAGAGTTCACAATTCAATGACTTCTGATAATAGTCACAGTTTTGTGCGACAGTCCCCACTGTCTAACCCCAGAATGCTTTCATAGACCCGAATAGAAACCCTGTGCCCACTGGCAGCTGCTGCCCATTCTCCCCTCCCCCAGCCCCTGTCAACTGCGTATTGACTTCCTGTCTGTATAGATTTCCTTGTTTTGGACCTTTCATATAAATGGAATCCTACAATATGTGGTCTTTGGGGCCCGGATTCTTTCAGTCAGTGTAATGTTTTTAAGGTACTTCATTCCTCTGTGTCGCTGTGTGATGTTCCACGGTATGCAGAGACCACCTTTTGTTGATCCATTCATCCACTGATGCACATTTGGCTTGCTTCCAGTTTTTGGCTATGGTGAATAGCACCGCTGTGGTGTTTCATGTACAGGTTTTTGTTGGGAGTGGAACCGCTGGGTTACGTGGTAATTCTGTGTTTAAATTTGAGGAGCCACCAAACTTTTTCCCACAGAGACTGCACAGTTTTAATTCCCACCGGCAATATATTAAGGTTTCAATATCTCGACATTCCCATCATGGATGGATTTTGAATGTTGAATATAAGCTAACTATAGGCCAGATTTTGTTAGGAGATTACCAAAGAGCCAGCCATATCCCCCACTTTTGTTTCATTTGCATTCTCCTTTCAGTGGCGTAAACTTCCCTGTTTTGAGATTTACAAATAGTTTGATTATACGGAAATGTTGCGGTAGTACAACCTTCCTCTGTTCAGACAGATAGCACTAAGAGAACCCTTAAAAATCTAACTTACCTAGAGTAGGATCCAGTTGTTAATGGCTTAGAAACTGATGATGGGTGATGGACGATTGTTATGGGTTGAATCGTGTCTCCATAAAAAAATATGCTGAGGCCCTAACTCCTGGTACCTGTGAATGTGGCCTCATTCACAGGTGGGTCCTAATCTAGTCTGAGTGGGGGTCCTTAGTAGAAGAGGAGAGACAGACCCAAGGGGAATGCCATGGGACGATGAGGCAGAGATTCGAGTGATTGTCTATAAAGCAGAACACCTGGGGCAACCAGAACCTGGAAGATGCAAAGACTCTGCCCCAAGAGGGTTCTGAGGGAGCACAGCCCTGCCAGAACCTTGATTTGGGCTCCAAACCGTGAGAGGACATTTCTGTTGTGTTAAGCCCTATAGTTTGGGGTACTGTGTTCCAGCAGCCAGGGGAGAGTCCCGCGAGGATTGGGAGGCTGATTACAAAGAGATGAGCTTGTCGCTTCTTTAGTGCTCTCCGTGTGATAGCACTAGAAAGACTAGAACTGGGAACTCAGATGAAGTGATGTATCCTTTGTTTTTCACAGGCCAAGGGTGGAGGATACGAAAGTGAAAGTGCTTACCCCAATGCGGAGCTCGTGTTCTTGGAGATCCACAACATTCACGTGATGAGAGAGTCCCTGCGTAAACTGAAAGAGATCGTGTACCCCTCGATCGATGAGGCACGGTGGCTCTCCAACGTGGATGGGACGCACTGGCTGGAGTATATAAGGGTAAAGCGGGCTGGTCCTTTACATGCTTTCTGGTTAAGATTTCTCTCTGTACCTGCCATAAATCTGGTCATCCACGTGGTTTCTCAACACTGGAAATAAGCACATCTTTGCTGTCACAGTTTCCATGGGCAGTATCCAGACGGTGGTCTTTGTTGGAGGGCTTCTGTGACATAAAAAGGGATAATGCTTGCCTCAGATCAGGTTTTTAAAGACCTTTGTGGCCCTTTGAAAAAGGACTGTATTTACTGCTGTCATTTTTCTTCATGTAAGGTGTTCCCCACCCCCAATGTTACTGTTTCCGAGTGATCCTCAGTTGATTGCATTGTTTGGTTTATTGACCTGAATTTCCAGCATTCTTCACAGTCCTGGAAATTAAATGCTGTCCTAGAAATTAAATGTAGCCTGCTCTAATGTGCCTTCTTTTCTGAAGATGCTTCTTGCTGGGGCAGTAAGAATTGCTGATAAGATAGAATCTGGGAAAACTTCGGTGGTGGTGCATTGCAGCGATGGTTGGGACCGAACAGCCCAGCTGACCTCTCTGGCTATGCTGATGTTGGACAGTTATTACCGCACCATTAAAGGCTTCGAGGCTCTCATAGAAAAGGAGTGGATAAGCTTCGGACATAGGTTTGCCCTGGTAAGTTGAGACAGTGAGGTATGTGCTTGACTGTTCTTTCCCATGCATGTGCGTATCACACACACCACACATCTACACACACACACACGTACACACGTGTGGGTTCTCTGTGTCTGACCCGAGTCACCATAATGGAAGACGATGGGCCCCTCAGCATTGTATGTTTTTTGGTAGGGCACTCTGGTTTTTAGAATTTTTTTTAGTGTAGGTATGTTTTTTTTTTATATAAGTGAGGCAAAATTCATATAACAGAATTAACCATCTTCAGGCATACAGCTCAGTGGCATTTAGTACATTCACAACGTTGTGCAAACCCTACTTCTGTCTAGTTCCAGAACATTTCTCCACCCCATTAAGTAGTCACTTCTCATCTCCCTTCTCCCCCAGCCCCTGACAATCACTAAGCTGCTTTCTATCTTTCTGAATTTGCCTGTTCTACGTACCTCATATAAGTGGAATCGTATAATATTTGTTTTTCTGTGACTGGCTTATTTCATTAAACACACTGGTTTTAAGGCTTATCCATATTCTAGCCTATGTAAAAATTTCATTCCTTTTCATAGCTGAATAGAATTCCCTTATATAGATAGACCACATTTTGTTTATTCATTTATGTTGGTGGATGCTTGAATTATTTCCAGCAGTACGCTGTTGTGAATAATGCTGCTATGAACATTGGCCTACAAGTTTTTGCCATACACAGTACCACAAACTGAGTAGCTTAGACAATAGAAATGTATTGTCTCACAGTTCTGGAGGCCAGAAGTCCAAGGTCAAGGTTCTGGTAGGGTTGGTTTCTCCTGAGCCCCCTCTTCTTGGCTTGTAAGTGGCTGTCTTCTCACTCTGTCTCCATGTGGCCTTTCCTCTGTGTGCACCTCCCTGGTGTCTCTCTCTGTGTCCAAATTTCCTCTCCTTAGAAGGACACCAGTCAGATTGGATTAGGGCCTACCCTCCCACCTCCCTTTAATCACCTCTTTACGGACCCTATCTCCACATATAGTCACATTCTGAGGCCCTGGGGGTTAGGGCTTCAAGACAGGAACTGGGGCAGTACAAAATTCAGCCCATAACAGCCTGCTTTCACACTTGGGTATATCCCTTTTAGTGGAATTACTGGGTCATCTGGTAGGTGTTCTTTTGTTTTTAAGTTTGTTTATTTTAAGACTGAGAGTTCAAGTGGGAGAGGGGCAGAGAGAAAGGGGGACAGAGGATCTGAAACTGGCTCTGAACTGTCACCATGGACCCTGACACGGGGCTCGATCCCATGAACTATGAGATCCTGACCTGAGCCGAAGTTGGATGCTTAACTCACTGAGCCAACTGGGTGCCCCCATCATCTGGTACATATTTTTGTGCTTTAGTCCAAATGGCTGTTCCTCGTCCTTCTCGGGCCTTAAGCCATTGGGGATTCATCTTAACTGTGCATTGGAAAACTCCCTGAAGCCACATTCAGATCCACTTCTAGAAAGCAGGACGAGCAGTGGAGAGCTTCAGTGGCTCCCACCACGGGGTACCAAGTGCACTGTCCATGAGGAGAGGGAAAGGAAGTTCCACAGGCTTTGAGCCACATGCCCTTTGGGGGCTGTTGTCCGGTCCTCAGCTACATGCCTTCCCTGTCTGCGCCTTGGTTCCCTTCTCCAAGTGGAGTGTTGTACAGAGGAGGGGAGTTTGTGTACATTAGGTGCTCAGACAGGGCCTGGCCCGTGCTGGGTACCTTTTAGATCCTGTGTTTATTTTAAACATTATCGCGAACTCCTTTGTTCCTTCTCCCTGGGAGAGGAGAGAGTGTGGAGTTTCCCCAATGTTTGCATCTGACCATCTCTGAAGGCTCCCAGGGCATTCTGTTCCACCTTTCCTCTCCACACCGTGTGTCCTGGAAGACAGGAGGCCGGCAGGGGCCCTTGACTAGGTGGGCAGTGCTAAAGGCCACCTACTGAGACTCCAGTAGCGGCCCTGCACAGCACGCATCAGGGCACGTGCACACGTTCTCCCATCCCTACTTGCTGACACTGGGGTTCGCGATGGTAGTGAGATCCTAGGATTGTTAATGGCTTCACTTTACTGAGCGGCACTGTGTATCCAGCACCGTGGCACGTATCATCTGCTTCAATCCTATAATGACCCTGAGCGGCAGCTGCTATAACTGGCAGTTGGAGGGAACTGACATTTCAGGAGTAGGAGTTATCTGACCGAGGTCACCCAACCATTGAGGGTTGAACCGGCATCCACACGGCAGTTTCCATCCTGCAGCCACCTTCTTGCTGCCTCCCTCTACTCTCCCTTCCCTTGAGTTCTGTCTAAGCTCTTGTCTGAGGCCCACTTCTGTCCTTGCCCCCCTGTTCCATCTTCTACCTCCTGGACCTTTTCCCAGACCACTGTCTAACCTGCCACCGACCTGCCTCCATTTCCCCTCTTGCCTAGAGGGGTCCTACTGGTCTAGAAACCTGCCACTATTTATCCCTCTCTTGACCCGACTTCCCCCTCCATCTGTCACAGCAGATACCTGCCCCCTCTGCAACAAAGCCCCTCACAGCTGTAGTCTGTACCCACTACTGCTGTTTCCTTTCAGGCTGTGTTGAACTCACTTCACCAGGCTTTCTCCTCACAACACCCACTCCAGCCCGAAGCTGCTTGTCACCACCACCGATGACTGCCACTTTGCCAAGTCCTTCTCTTATTTGGCCTGCGCACTGGAGGCTGTTGGTTCTTCCCTTCTTCTGGAAACTTTTTCTTCCCTTGGCTTCTAGGTCTCTGTAGCCTTTTGAATTTCCTCTAGTCTTCTGGTCCTCCTTCTCTCCCCAGCCTTGTGGTGTTGGGGGGCAGGCCTGGGGCTCAGTTCTCAGATCATTTCTCTTTTCTCTGCATGCTTAATACCTTAGTGATCCCGACTGGTCACTCATCTTTAAATATGTGTATTTCCAGTCTGCCATATCCTCAGTGCCACTGATGCCCCCTTCCTTCTAGCCTGCCAATCTCCCTTGGGGCTATGATGGCAGCCTAACTAGTTTCTCTATCACCTGTGTCTCCTTCCAATCCTTGTCCTTGCTACAGCCAGATGGAGTGTTCCAAGAAGCCCATCTGCTGCTGCCCACTGTGAATCTCTCCGAGCCCTCCCGTGGCCTGTGGGATTGTGGGCAAACTCCTCAGCTCAACATTTGAGGCCCTTGGTGATCTGGTCTGGTCCACCTTTCCAGCCTTGTTTTGCCCCCCAACCCACCCCCTTCCACCTTTCCTCATGTCCAGCTACTTACGGTGCCCTTGGCATCCCCCCTTCCATGTTCCCACTGCTTCCACTATAATGTACCTCTGGCCAGCCGGAAAGCAGGCACCTCCTTCCATCCTTCATGGTTTATCTCAAATGACACCTCCCCCGTGACTGTGACTTTCCTTCCTTGTCCCCTCTCTACCCCATCCTACGTTGGCCACTTGTTCCTTTGTGGCCCCCGGATACCCATCACAGACTTGGAAACCCTTAGAACATTTTATTGCCCTTGTTATTTACAGGTCTTTCTCTCAACTAGACCACGAGGGAATTACTCATTTAGCACAAGTACTGCATCTCATTTGTCTTGGTGCGTCAGGTGTGTAGCCAAGAGCCTGGCCTCTACTGGACACCGTGAAACTTGCTGAAATTCCAAGGTCCAGGCAGGATGCCTTGCATCCACCATAGGAATTCAATAAATGCCTAGTAGAAGGATGAATCTTAAATTGTGAGCGGTCACGCCAAACTGTTCCCAAGGTGCCTTAAATACTGAAGAGCAGGCTCTACAAGTTATTTCTGTAAAGGAGAAGTACAGAAATAAGGCAGTTGATGCAGCTGCTATGGAAAACAGTATGGCAGTTCCTCAAAAAAATTAAAAATACCATATGATCCAGCAAATTCTGCTTTGGGGTATAGACCCAAAAGAAGTGAAAACAGAGACTCAGATATTTACACACCCATGTTTATAGCAGCATGACTCACGATAGTGCACGTGTAGAAGCAACCCAAGTGTCCACCGACAGATGACCGCATGAACAGAATGTGGTCTGTCCATACAATGGAAGTAGTATTCAGCTTTAAAAAGGAAAGAATTTGACACCTTCTACAGCGCAGATGAACCTTGAGGACCTTCTGCTGAGTGAAAGAAGCCAGTCACAAAAGGACATCTGTATGATTCCACTCCTAAGAGGTCACCGAGTCACATTCATAGGGACAGAAAGTAGAATGGTTGGTGCCAGGAAGGAGGAGTTAGTGTTAATGGGGAAGAGTTTCAGATTGGGAAGACGGAAGAGTTCTGGAGATTGATGGCGGCGATGGTTGCACAGCAATGTGAATGTCCTTCATCCAACACTGAGCTGTATGCTAAACGTGGTTGAGATGGTCAATTTGATGTCATGTGTGTTTCACCACAATTACAAACCAGTAGAAAAGAAAGACCATATGCTGTAACTGCGAGGCATGGATTTCCTTGTTTTTATGTCTTTCCTGCTGGCAGTTTCAGAGACCCAGTGTTTCTTGCACTTTCTCTATGCTGGTTGCATTGTATCTTCATGATGGTTTTTTTTTTTTTTCTTTTCCTTTCTTATCCTTTTGCTTACTTATCAGATTATTTGAGCATTCTCTTAGAATGCTCATTCTGGAGCTGTTTTTTAACCTGACATTTTCAATGTTTCTGTCCTACTTATGTTTGAAATCCTTTTACCTTTTACTACGAATCTATTAATATGTTCAAAAAATACCACAAGGTGTGAAATATAACATTGGATGTCAAGTATATCTCAAAATTGCAAACAGAATACAATACTGGACTTCCTTGAGCAAGGACTCCCCACCACCATTTCAAGTGTGAGATTTGGGGATTTTCTGAGTCCTGTAGAATTGGTTAAAGCTTGTAGATTATTATTTTGATTCTCACACTTCGTGACATTTCTGAAAAATGGGAAAACCTGCTTTTACGCTTGTGGAGAGAATGGAGTCGTAATGCGCTTCGTGAGCTGCTAATTGGTAGTCTCACAGTGACACTGTGCCCTTGTGGTGGTGGCTGGGCTTGACCCCATCATTTGGACTGAAAAGTTTACTGGCTATTTGCTTGTAACTTCTTGATCTCAACTACGGTAAAGTAAAATTATAAAACCGTCAACATGGGAAAATACAGTACATTGAAATTTTGTTTCCTAAGAGTAATGGAAGTCAGTTCAATTCAGTGAACGTTGTTGAGTGCTTATTATGTGCCAAGAATTCTGTTAGGCCTTGGGATGTACAAATGACACCTGATGCTTGCCACTAGGCAATTTTAAGTGACTTTATGGAGGAGTGTGGCCTGCATTAACATGCTTAACCTCTTATTTCTTTTCAGAGAGTGGGCCATGGCAATGACAACCACGCAGATGCTGACCGGTCCCCTATTTTTCTTCAGTTTATTGATTGTGTTTGGCAAATGACAAGACAGGTGAGTGATTTCAAGTATATTTCTGACCTTACAGTTTAAGATTATATAAACCTTCATGTTCATTCAAAATGAAGACATGTGTATGTATGTGAAAACAGGACCCCTTCCGTTATTTAGCTCAGTTTGATTCTAATTCACTTAGAAGTATAAGCAGAAAATTAGAAATGATCAACTTCACCACAAAAGTTCCATTCCTTGTGCAATGGCTTTTGTCGGTCATCCTGTCCGCCAGCTGTGCTCCAGTCCTCCTGCTGCTCTTGTCCCCTGTCAGGGTGAGAGTTCCCTGCTGGCTGGGTACAGGAAGATTCAGCCAGGTGTTAGAAATGGGGATGTGACTGAACTGCCCACGAGGGGGGTGTTAGACCCGGAACTCAGGAATCTCCATACCTATTCCAGGCCACAGCATCCCCAGTGCAGAGTCGGTGAAGTAAAGGAGTGTCCAGGAAGTGATGACAGATAGGGAGTTGCTGGTGCTTAGTTACTGGGTGCCTAGTTTCCAAACCCCAGTGCACGGAGCCCTGGGAAGCAAGCTGGTGGCGCAGGTATCCTTCCCTGAGCTGGGTGGGTCCTGATGGCTTCGGCTTAAAGCATGGACTGCCATGAGGCATGTGCTATTTATTCCCTAGTCTCCAACATCCGAGCCCAAGTTTGGGGTCTTACCCTCATGACAGGAGATCAAGCCAGAGAGAGGAACTGAGATAGAGTGACCTATAGAGAGGGGTGAGGAGAGAGCAAGCCAGAGACACACAGATATACATGCAGAGACACACGCAGACAGAAAGAGACAGATACAGACACAGAGGAAGAGACAGAGTCGCAGACGCAAAGGGACCAACACGGAGAGAATAAGAGGTCAGGAGTCCTCCCAGTGCCTGTGTGGGGAAGGAGTCCAAGGGTGGAGAACCATGGCCTGGGCCCTCTCCTTCCTGTTGGCCCAGAGGTCTGCCCTTAGCTGCTTTAGTCACGTGAAGGGGGCCAGCCGGAAAGACTGCTGGCGACCTCTAGTGACTCCACCAGCAGCCACGGTGCTCGTGACTGAGATTCCTGACCACATCAGCACCAACACCTTAGGGTCTTTTTAAAGGACCTCTGCCTCCCTGAGCCCGGAGAGTGCCTGATGTACCACCGTCTGTGAAATCTCTCACCGTGAGCCTCTGTACCGATGTGGGGGGGTGTTGGGGGCAGGAGAGAACCACCACACTGCTGATGCTGCCCCGCTCTGCCTCAGCCTGGACCGCTCGTGGCAGCGATTCCTCGAGGGCCATCTAGGGCACCCCAACCTCACTCTCCACCTGAGGGCTTACTGTCAGCACCTGGAAACTTGTCAAGATGCACATGCTTCGGCCCGACCCCTGCAGACCCTTCCTCCCGTGGTCCTAGGGGGAAGCCCGGGTGTGTGTGGTTCTGCAAAGTTCCCCAGGTGGTTCTGTGGTACCAGTGAGGTAGAAGGCCAGCATCCAGGCAGGGAGCTCCGTCCTAGTCCAGTCCTGTGGCTAGTAGCCTCAGCTTCCCTTGGGGACTTAGAGATGAAAACTCACATGGCACTGGACGTGGTGGTTTTCTTAAAATGCAGATTCTGATTTGTGAGTCTGGGCCCTGAAGCTTGAGAGTCTGCATTTCCCACAGATCTCCCCCAGTAGCAAGGATCTAGAGAGAGTGGCATACTTTCAGAAACAAGAAAGAAAAGAGGTGCCTGGGTGGCTCAATCGCTTAAGTGTCTGACTTCAGCTCAGGTCATGATCTCATGGTTTGTGAGTTTGAGCCCCACATCAGTCGGTGGAGAGCCTGCTTGGGATTCTCTCTCTCCCCCCTCTCCCCATTTGCGTGTGAGTGCATGTGTGTGCTCTATTTCAAAAATAAAAGAAACTTAATAAAAAAGGAAGGGGGTGGTGGGTAGGTTCTAATCAGCGAGAGGAGATCTCACAGAATGTGAGTCCTCAGGCCTGCACTTAGAACTTCCTCTTACTTTTAGGCCCACTTCCCCAAGCTGATGGGGATCTTCAGTTAGCTGAGTGCGGGGTCACAACTGGTTCAGAGCAGCCAGTTGGAGGGAAGACCCGGTGAGGGGGGGCGGGTCTCAGAGAGAGGTAGACACCGACATCGACAGGATGAGTGACAGTTGACAGTGAACACATACTCAGAAAGCCGGGAGACTGGCCAGAGGTCTTATTGTAATGTAGCACCATGAACTTCTTGCTGTTTGTATTAACTGATTGAGCTGGTAACAAAATTAAGTGATGGTTACATTTAGGTCAAAACAAAAAAGTATAAAATGCCTTTTAGAAAAATCACATTAAAAGGTTGAACACAAAAAATAATTCTGATGTTAAGTAGCTTCTCCCTCCCAAATGCCTAGGGGTGCGTGCGTGCGCGTGTGTGTGATATCCTCAAACTGACTTCCATTCTCAATACTGCTTAGTGCCTATTTTCATGTCCAATCTATATATTTTTTGTGCTGTTTATTGGATTTTAAGAAAACAAGGGGTGTAGATTAGATTTCAGATGCCTCTCAGCTCTAAGATTCTGTCCGTGAAATGCGTATAATTAATGTCTCTTAAAACAATGTTGTTAATGCAATAGAAGAAGAAATATCACTGCTTAGTCTATCAGTTAAGTCACAAGTGGATGAGACATGTAGCTTGTTAGAAAAGATGCATTAATGTAATAAGATTAATTTATTTGGAGGTTGCCTACTGCTAAATCAAGGAAGCTTAAATCCTCATGAAATTGTTAGAAATCTCAGGATAAAATGAACTAGCCTGTGTACACAAATTGATAGAAAAGGATCTAAGGGCAGAGTAATTGAGGGGACTCTTCAGAAAAGAGTCTCCAACCTTCTACAATAGCCATAGTTTAATGGACTCTCTACCCTTCTCAAGAGGTGTAGAATTTCATTATGGATTTCTATGGAGTTTTTGAGACCATACGTTTTAGGCATATGGTATAGTTTCTGCGACAACAGGTCAAAACAAAGTCGGAGTCATGACATTTAATCTTTTATTTTTATTACTTTAGCTGTTGCTACTTCCTCTAAATGAAATATTTTTGGAGCTGAGCGTAAGGCCACAATGCCATTTGAAGGTGAATAACAGTCCTGATGGAACATGAGCAGAGCTCTTGTGTTCTGGTTTTTCAGGGGCTGATGGCCTTAGGCAGAGTCCCACCCACTCTGACCTCCCCTACCTGGTACCCACTTGGCCACAATAAGGCTTGTAGTCAGTGGTACTAGAATACATCCAGCCAAGCTCCCAGATTCAGAACGAGTGCTCAGGGTTAGGAATAAAGACTCATTTGACTTTAAAAAAAAAAAAAAAGTGCCCATAGAAGCTTTGCTGTCCTGCTAATAAACATATAATTTAAATGTTTGAAAATCTATATCTTCCATTACTATCCTTGATTTAATAAAGCTCCAATGTACATAAATGTTATATATTTGCTTCAAATTCATAAATTTTGTGGTGCCAATAATTTATGCATAGAGCGTAACTAAACCACATAGAAAAATGCTGGGAAAAGTGGACAGGATGTACTTGGCCTTTTAAAAGATAGCTATTTGATGGGGTACCTGGGTGGCTCAGTCGGTTGAGCATCTGACTTCAGCTCAGGTCATGATCTCACGGTTCGTGGGTTTGAGCCCTGCGTCGAGCTCTGTGCTGACAGCTCGGAGCCTGGAGCCTGTTTCAGATTCTGTGTGTCCCTCTCTCTCTGCTCCTCCCCTGCTCACATGCTTTCTCTCTCACAAAAATAAAGATTAAAAAAAAAAAAAAGATAGCCATTTGCTGGGTGCCAGGGTAGCTCAATTGAGCATCCAACTTTGGCTCAGGTCATGATCTTCTGGTTCATGAGTTCAAGCTTTACATCAGGCTTGCTGCCGTCAGCACAGAGCCTGCTTTGGATCCTCTGTCCCCCCCTCTCTCTCTGCCCCTCTTCCACTCATACTCTCTCTCAACAATAAGTAAAACATTTTTAAAAAATTATTAAAAGATAGCCATTTGGAATGTGAGGCCATTGTCAGAGTTGCAAGTTAAAGGCTCAGATTAATCAGTAGCTTTCTTTAGCATTTTGGCCAGATTTAGTTGATTTAGTTCATCTAAGAACAAGAGTGCTGGTAAGAACAACCACCATAGCTAGTTTCCAGAGGTTTCTAAAGAAGCAGTATTCTGATGGGGCTCCTCAGAAGACAGTTGTATGTTTCTATGGGAACAATCCTTAGGATGGAGAGAGAGGCACATCTGAATCCAAGATAGCTGAGCAGAATTCCGCAAGTTGGCTAATGTAATAAACAGCCTGGTGAGGAAGGGAACAATTTCAGGTAGAGCGTGGATAGTCCTGGATTGGCCATTATTTCTAATCGGGAAGCTTGTCCCTATCCTCGTAAAGTAATAAGGCTATCGGCAACCCTGGTCGTCTCTGTAGAGATGACAGGATTTCATGATCGTGTGCAAATGTCACTCTGATTGGGGAATGGTTTGATACTGTAAACTGAGTTAAATAAAAACATGCTGGGTAGTTCTGTTTGGTTTAGTTCTAATTGGCTCTGCATCATTCAACATGTAATGAACATTTCACTATGTTTACTGGCACATGAGAGGCAGCCAGTACTTGCCTGCCGCTAGGATCATCATCATTATCATTAATCATTATTGTCATTTCCAGACCGTCTCCTCACGGCTACTAAATGACACCTACTGGCTAGGATGTCCCAAAAATGGTAAAGTCTTTGTTGGAGTTTGGCAAAACCCCATTAAGAATGACCTAAAACGATAATTGAGATGATTATGTCATTTTCTTATTCTGTTAATATGATGAATTACAGTAATTATTATTTTTTTTAACCTTGATCTTCAAATGTTAAGCCAGCCTTGCATTCCTGAGACAAACCCTGCCGGGTCATGTTGTGCTACCCTTTGTATATGTTGCCGGGGGTCAGTTTATTTATACGTTAGGAAGGATCACGGGGATGTATGTTCCTGGAGTTGTCTCTGTGGGAAGGTTATTAACGATGAGTAGTAGAGAATAGATTTTGTTTCTTCGTGAATCACTTTTGGTATATGCTGTGCCCGGGAACCCACCTCCCTTCTCTGTGACTCCGAATGTACCCCAGGTAGAAAGCTGGGACTGGAGTTGGACTTGACTCGTCTTTTTCCCTTTGGTGCTGGGGGTGGGGTCATGGCCTCCTGCTGCCTGTTGCCAGTGTCTGAAAACAGCCGCTTCATGTATTCTATCCAGTTTTCTAGTGCTTTCTGGCAGAAGGGGGACTGTGGGCTGTGTTCTACCAGCATGACAAGAAGTGGAAGCTGCACAATGCTTATTCAGGCATTGAAAAATACAGTTTTTGTTACTTCAGGTTGTTTCTCAGCCAGATCTATAAGCTTGGACTTGAAACTATAGGAAGTTAAATTCTACATGGGCTCAGTCTTCCTTTTAATCTTGGACTGTATTCCGAGTTGTACTTTAGCGGTCTTTCACAGACAACTAGTACCACTATGTTTTAGAAATTGAACTTTAAACCTTCTTTCTCCATTTAAGTTTCCTTCAGCATTCGAGTTCAATGAACTGTTCTTGATCACGATTTTGGATCACCTCTACAGCTGTCTCTTTGGGACCTTTTTGTGCAACTGTGAACAGCAGCGACTCAAAGAGGTAAGTGTCTATTGCTTTCCCAATTACTCGGGTGCCTTTCCCATGAGGTGCCACTGTTAAAAGGGGGACTGGGTGGAGAGGGGACTTGGGTCTAGCCCTGCTGCCGTGCGTAAATGGAGAGATTACATTAGATGCCCTTCCAGGCCTCAGCAGCCCCAGTGCATGTGTTTAATCTTCCAGGTGGCCTGACACGAGCCTCTTACTGTGTGGGTGCTGGGGGCTGGGGCCTAGCAAGCCCATAGCTCTCTGACGTCTCTCAGTTCTTGTAGGTTTAGTTCTAAACCCTGGACCCCCTGAATCCCAAGCTCATATACTTTCTATTTTCTACTGCACTAACTCCAAAATGATGTGATTCTGCCCTTCGTTCTCCAGGCCGTTGGGCACAAAGGTACTTGGAGGCCTAGGAAGGTGAAGTCTGTAGATGAGCCCAGAACTTCCCTTGAGGAGCAAGCCAGACTCTCTTTTCCATCAGGTTCATAATGAAGCAGCTGCCGAGCTTCTGAGTTCTATTTCCCCTCTTTCCTCTTTGGGATAAAAGAAAGAAATGGTCAAAAGTGAGGAAGCATTAGGCAAAGGCACCTTAGGGTGTCCTCTAGTTAACAGAAAAGGGCCAATGCCTGTGGGCTAAGTACATTAGAACATTGTCAAATTTCAGGGAAAATAGTGGGTTGCTAGCACCCACCTCCCTCTGCAGCTTCCCCACAGCTGTCACCCCTCATTCCTTGCCTGCACCCCACTCAGTCTCCTCCCTTTAGCCCTTCTCTCAGCTGGGAGCCTGCCTGGGCCCAGTCCCTGGTCGTCGTCTTCCCCAAACTCTGTCCTCTGTCTAGGTCGCTGTCTGTCTCCTCTCAGGATCTAAATGCCATTCTCTTCTTCCCTCTGCCCTTCTACATGTCCCTAAAGGGCACCCTTGCTCCTCGAGATGCACAGGAGCCACCTTTGCCTCCTCCCTCACCCTGCCCCCAGCTGCCACAGCTGGTCCCCCCTTGTCACTGCCCCACAGCCTAGTGCAAGCCCCCACGGTCTCGCGGCCAGACTAAGGCAGCTGGTGGGAAATGTGTTTCAGTCATTCCTGACCTCCAGCAACCAGGGCCGCATTCCCTGACTCTAGTCCCATCCTGAGCCTCTCCCCTGCTTGAAACCTCCCTGTGGCTTCTGTCGTGATCCCGGTAAGATCCACATTCCTGTGGGCCCAGGGTGATAGAGACCTGTTAACCTCTTAAAAAAAAGAAAAAATTTAGAGCAAGCTTCATGGTATTTGACTTCTATCTCAATAAAGCTATTTTTAAAATATGAACAGAAAAATGAAGTTCATATGTAGAATTTAAACACTTACGGTCTTCTCTTTTGTTTTAACCAAATACCCTCTTTAAAAACTCAGCTCTCTTGAGATGGAATTTACATACTATACAATTCAGCCTTTTAAAGTGTACAGTTTAATGGTCCTTAGTATATTCAGAGTGTGCAGCCATCCCCACCATCTAATTTCCTAAACCACATAAACTTTTCATCACCCAGAAAGAAACCCCATTCCCATTAGTAGTCATTCCCCGTCCCTCCCTCCCCCAGCCCCTGGCAGTCAATGATCTGCTTTCAATCTGTATGGATTCGCCTGTTCTGGACATTCCATATGAATGGAATCAAACAGTATTTCTCCTCCTGTGACTGGCTTCTTTCACTAAGCTTAATGTTGTCAAGGTTCATCTGAGTCTTAGCAGGCGTTGGTACTTTGTTCCTTTCTTATGGCTCAGTAATACCCGTGGTGTGGAGACACCACACTTTGTTCATCTAAGTCATCTGCAGATGGACTTCTGGTTGTTTCCACTTCGGGCTCTTACAAATAATGCTGCTGGGAACATTCAAATGTGCAAGGTTTCATGTGGACCTATGCTTTCATTTTTCTGGTATGTACCTAGGAGTAAAATTGCCGAGTCCTATAGCAAGTGTATGTTTAACCCAGAGACTGTTCTCCAAAGCAGTTGCAGTATTTTACATTGTCCCCAACAATGTCTGAGGGACCCAGTTTCCTCACATCCTTGTAGATGTTTGTTGTTGTGTATCTTTTTTATTCTAGTCATCCCAGTGGGTATGAAGGAGTAGCTCATTGTGAGTTTTGATCTACATTTCCCAATTAACCAATGGTATTGTGAGCACATTTTCATGTGTTTATTGGCCATCTGTTTATCTTCTGTGGACAAATGTTTATTCAGATCCTTTGCCCAGTTTTTAGTTGGGTTTTCTTTATTAGGGACTGGTAAGAGTTCCCGATGAATTCTTGATATATACAAGTCCCTTATCAGATACATGGTTTGCAAACATAGTCTCCCATTCTGTGCATTTTCTTTTTGCCTTCTTGGTGGTCTCCTTCGAAACACAAGTCTTTACTTTTCATGAGGTCCACTTTATTTTCTTTTCTTGCTTGTGCTTTTGGGGTCATGTGCAAAAGCCGTTGCCTAACTCAAGGTCATGAAGATTTGAGCCTGTGTTTCCTTCTAAGATTTTTATAGTTGTAGCTCTCACATTTAGGTCTGTGATCCATCTTGGAGTTCCTTTTTGTGTACTATGTGTGGGAAGGGTCCAACTTCATTCTTTTGCACATGGCTAACCTGTCGTTCACATGCTGCTGATGAAAAGATTCTCTTTCCCCCATTGAACTGTTTCAGTGCCCTTCTTGGAATTCAGTTGGCGTTATATGTGAGGGCTTATTTCTGTACTGTCTGTTCTCTTCCATCGATTCCACACATCTGTCCATCCTAGGCTAGCACCACCGGATGGATTACTGTGACTTTGTAGTAGCTTTTGAAATTGGGAAGTGTGAGACCTCCACGCTTGTTCCTTTTTCAAGAATGTTTTGGCCATTCAGGGTCCTGTGAATTATTGCTGGCGTTTCTCTTATAAATACAAAATATACGAAGAGGTCCTGACGGAATTTTCTATGTCTAGATAGCCTGTAAGGAAGTCAGCTGGCTTTTGCGGTTTTCTGATTTTGACTTTGTCACTGTGTTCAATCCATGTTCCATGTTTACCTGCCTTCCTGTGCCTGTAGGTTTTCATTCACATGAGCAATGCCAATAGTTCCAGCATTTGTATTCAGTGTATTCGAAGGTCGGGAGGTGGGGAGATAGAATTTAATGATATATTTACTTCTCTGTGTAAGGTTTCCCCGGCCTGCCACCCTGACAGGTTTTTCCCCAGATGTCCATCCATGACTTTCCAGCGAAAGGAATCTTATCTGTGAATTCTACCCCAACCCTCAATATTAAGAGTCACAAAAGCAAACTGCAAACTGGAAATAAAAAATGTATTTGTTATCGATGGGCCCCATCATCCTGTTGTTGCTAGAAAATTCTCATCATCCTGTGGTTGCTAGAAAGTTCTCGTTTTGCCTTCTACACACACACAGTCCCCAGATGTTCCTCAACTCAGCAATATGTTTTTCCAGGACAGTAACTAGTATGCGTTTTCATGTCCTCCCCTGCGTGAGGTGACGCCATAGCACTAAGGATGGGGCTGGGGCTTAGTAAATGTTCTACGCTTTTTCAGTGTCTGAACTCCTTTTATTCAAGTCTTTTTCTCTGCAATACAGATTCTTGAGAATCTGAAAAAAAAAGGTGAATTTATTTCAATGTATTCCTTTTTTTTGTTTTTCAGGATGTATATACGAAGACTATATCTTTATGGTCGTATGTCAATAGCCAGCTCGAAGAATTTTCGAATCCTTTCTTTGTGAATTATGAAAACCATGTCTTATATCCCGTTGCTAGTCTGAGTCATCTGGAACTATGGGTAAACTATTATGTGCGATGGAACCCACGAATGAGACCTCAGGTATCTTTTTGTTCTTCGCAAAAGAGTGTATCTTTCTGAGCAAAGATGGTGGTTTAAATTTTTTTTTTTTTAATGTTTATTTTTTTGGGGACAGAGAGAGACAGAGCATGAACGGGGGAGGGGCAGAGAGAGAGGGAGACACAGAATTGGAAACAGGCTCCAGGCTCTGAGCCATCAGCCCAGAGCCCGACGCGGGGCTCGAACTCACGGACCGCGAGATCGTGACCTGGCTGAAGTCGGACGTTTAACCGACTGCGCCACCCAGGCGCCCCAAGATGGTGGTTTAGAAATGAGTTCATGCTAGGGATGGACATGCTCTACTTCTGCCCTCACCTCTCAGGGTTCAGTCCTTTCCGTTCATGTTCTAGCAGCTTTTCTTCCTTCCTTCCTTCCTTCCTTCCTTCCTTCCTTCCTTCCTTCCTTCCTTCCTTTCGTTCTTTTCCTTTCTTTTCTCTTTCTTTCTTTCTTTCTTTCTTTCTTTCTTTCTTTCTTTCTCTTTTCTTTTTCCTTCCTTCCTTCCTTCCTTCCTTCCTTTCCTTTCTTTCTTTCTTTCCTTCTTTCTTTCCTTTCTCTCTCTCTCTCCCCTTCCTCTGTCTCCTTCCTTTCTTTCTTTCTTGAAGTTTATTTATTTTAGAGGGAGCAGGGAAGGGGGAGAGAGAGAGAGAATCCCTAGCAGGCTCGGCACTGTCAGCACAGAGCCCGATGTGGGGCTTGAACTTATAAACTGTGAGACCATGACCTGAGCTGAGGTGGACGCTTAACCGACTGAGCCACCCACGTGCCTCTAGCAGCTTCTTTTCATACACCAACCCAGATGCCGTTTGCTGGCTTAGAGTTAAACATCTTAGCACCTCTGTCTTTGCTAAAGGTGTATGGATGAAGTAATATTGGTTACTGTGTTGGACTCTTAGTGTCTCCAGTGACTTGGTGAGTTTGTAGACGCTGGTAGCAAAAGAGAAAAAGACCACGTGCTGAGTTGCAGGTAGGCAACCCTTGAAGAAGGGATAGTCTCCCCCTCCCTGCCACACTCTCACTATAACATTTCCTGAGACTGGAACAAATAGCAGAACGATGCACGGCAGGACCAGGCAGCCGAGCTGTGTTTGCCCTTGGCGTCCAGTGGCTAAGCCCGGGCTGTGGTTCAGGCACCACCAGTTAGGGTTCCCAAGGTGCTCCCCCAAGCCTGTGCCCTGTTGGTCCTGCCCTGCCCTCTCCCGTCCATGCAGGTGGCATGTCAGTGGCTGGGTGCCGTTGATGGTAGTTGGTGGGTAGAGCAATGGAGGCAGCTGTGTGGGGGACAGAGGACCTTCTGTGGGGTCAGAGGACCTTCTACTGAGGGTCTTTGTAGGTTGAGTATTCTTTGGGTTTCCTGGCAGCCTGCCAGGAGCGGGTTTCTGGGGCCTCGTTTAACACCATCGCTTCTGTCCTCAGTAGTTCGTTCTTGCTCAGTGCCTTCGCCATCTACTCAGGAGTGTTTTCGGCTCTCTGTTCGCTCGGGCTGCCATTAACCAAGTACTACACACGGGGGCGCTTACGCAGTGGAGACGCATCCTCTCCCAGTCCTAGAGACGGGAAGTCTGGAGGTCAGGGTGCTGACTAGATGGCTTGCTTCTGAGTGTGCTGTGAGGGAAGAGTCTGTTCCGGGCTTCACTTCATGGCTTGTGGCTGGCTGTGTCCCCCCCCCGCCTTCACATTGTCTTCCTTTTATGTGTGCGTCTGTGTCCACGTTTCCCCTTTTTATAAGGACACCAGTTGTATTGGGGCAGGGCCTCATCTGATGACCGCATTGTAAGCTGATTACCTGTGCAAAGACCTGTCTCCACATACGGTCACGCTCTGTGGGACTGGGGGTACAACGTCCACATAGGAACTTGGCGTGGCCAGTTAACCCATAACCGCCCCCAAGTCCCACTAACCATGGAGAATACCCGACTCTTCGTTTCACTTTCTAGTTGCCGGGCGCCTGAACCTTGGAGGGACCATCACTTTGGTAACGTTCCCTCCCCGATGGAAAAGTCCCTCACTGTAGGTTTAGCTCCAGGAAGTGGCTGAGTGTGCACAGTGCTTCTCCCCTCCTGACCTGTTCTGCTCCCAGCAGCACCACCCCAGCTGCTCCCCACTTGCCTCTTTCCCTGTTTCTGACTGCTTTCCAGTCCATCAGACTTCACCTATGAAAGCTCTTTCCTCCTCTAGACCCTCTGAGTTGGCTCTGGACCATTTTCCAGAACACCGTGGTCAGGGCCTGCCCAGCCCAGTACTTGTCTTTCTCTCGGAGCAGGCCCCGCACCCAGGCCTCAAGTTCCCCTCTTCCCCCTGGTCTGAGGGACTCTATGTCCCTGTAGGTGGCCTGTTAACCCCCCTCCCCAACTCTGGAAATGCTCTGCTTCAGCCTGGCACCATGCCAAGAGCTGGTCCTCTGAAAACCTTCTTTAGGAAACCTTCCCTGATTGAAACTTCCCTCTGTTTACTGTAAGAAGACCTACCTGTTGTCCTTGTGTACCAGGCAAATTTCTAACCGGGAGTAAGGGGCCATTAGCCACTTCCTGTGTTATGGCACTGAGTATTTCCTCTGCTCTTTTCTCCATAAAACAAACATTATACATACAGTCAAGTTCTTTGGTCAGTGGTTAGTGTTTTAAATACAGGTTTTCAATTTTATTTGTGGCCGGTGAGCCATCAGTAACTAATTTCAAATGTTTTATGCTTTTGCCTATGCTGATAGTGTCCATCCTGTTAGCTCTGTGGCATCTATAAAGAGTGCCGTGGAGCTAGCTGACCATTGCCCATGGCCTCCAGAAAGCCTCCTCATAAGCATGGTCCCCGAATCCTTCTCTCTTTCCTCTTCTGAGTGACCCATACCTCCTGCGACTCCCCATTCCCTAGTCACGTGGCCAAAGTTGGCCACATGATGGCCCACTGGGCACGGGACTGGCTTCCCGTGGCCACCCGATGGCTCCAGCTCTCCGTGCCTTCTACCTCCCTGGCCCCCACTGTCCCATCATCTAAGCTCCAGATTACGTCCATCGGACTATGGTGACAGCTTATTTCTATTTGTTTCTCAGACTTTGTGTTCTGCAAGGGTAGGCCTCTGCCATAATTGCTTGTTATTAGATTGAATCCTCCCCCAAATGAGAGCCACATGTGAGAGAGAAGATGGGTGCGGGCCCAGAAGCATCCGGGAGCCAGAGGTGGCCAGCCCCATCAGCAGCTTCTGTGGTGGCTCACAGCTGAGACAGTCTGAGTGCAGGTGCACTGCCCTCCTTTCATGGGGGCCAGCTTCCAGAACTACACTTCTTTCCGACCTTTGCTGCTTTATTTTGGAATGCCAGACCAGGGGGCCCCTTAAGCACTTCTTTCCAGTTGCTCGAATCCATTTTCCTTAAGAATCCAGGCCAGCATCTGCCTTCCTGCAGCTCCCTCCTAACTGGCATGTGCCTCTGTCCTCCTCAGGCCCTTTGCCGAGTCCTTTCCTGGGTGGTTCTATTTTGTGTGTCATAGCAACAAGGAGGAGGGGCTGTAGTGTAGAGTGGAGGGAAGTCCCTTCTGTGAAATCACTCAGGGAGGGTTACCAGATCGTATTCTTGGTGACACAAAGGACAGGTGGTCAGGGGGCTACCTTGAACCTTAGCACAGAAAGCCCGCACAGGCACTGCTGCTGGAATGAAGGGTGTCCCGTGGGCCCCCGCTCTTGCTGTGGCGGCACTAGCTCCCACGTGGTCTCTCAAACCCTGCGAGCCGCAGGCCGCCTTCCTTCCTGACCATGCTCAGGTCCTTACACGTGTGAGCAGTCAGCTTCATCGTGGCCATCACAACAGTGACGGGAACTGGAGCCCTCGCTGCTCTAAGTCCAGACCCTCTGGTGGGCCTCTGGGCGCCGGGGGATGCTGATGACCTCCTGCCGGGCAGAGGGAAGGGCCAGAGGAGCCGTGGCTTGTCACGTTCTCGCCACCTGGCACGTGTAGTTACAGAAGGGAAGGGTGCCCACCGGCCAGGGCCAAAGTCCCTCCTAGCGGTGGCTCGATGCCTCTTGTGGGTGGGGTCCCGAGCTTTGCCGAGACCTCGTGTGAGCAGGAGCACGAGTGTGAAATGGGTCCCTCCAAAGCTGGCCTGCGGCTCTCCGTGCTCCCCTTGCACCATGCAGTATGGAAGGGAGAACGGAAGGTGTCCTGAATGCGGCTGGCACGGAGGCATGTTGGGGAGCAGGCAGGGCACAGGGGGGCATCAGAGGCCAGAAAGGTGGACAGGCCAGGCTGCCACAGGGTTCGTGGGACAAGCTCGTCGTGGTACTAGGCACATGGAACTTAGGGGGTGGGGAGGGCTGTGGCAAAGGGATCGGTGAGAAGGCTGCTGTCAGTGTGATGGGTGGGGATGGGGAGCAGGCTGGGGAGGAGGGGAAGGGGACTAGCCTATTTGGCCCCTTTTGTCTGAGGAGGAGGGGGCTAGATTGGCTACCCTGAGAGTAGCTCCCTGGGCATCCGTCAGAAGATGGCTGGGTGGGGAGGAGGGCCAGGCATCTGTCTCGTTTCCTTTGGGGCCCTCTTGGCTCGTGGCTGACGCGCGCTAGCACCCACTGAGTGAGGTCCCCAGCTGGGCATTTTCTCAGTGAGCATGCGTCAGATTTATTGTAAAGGACATATGAGGAAAGGCAGCATGGAGATGTCAGACAATCGTCTCGGGCCCTGGGCGCATGTGGAATCGTGCAGTCCCCTGCACGGGCTGCCCCTCTCTGAGGTCATGGTAGTAACAGTAGTTTGACTGCAGAACGTTCCCTTGTGTGATTCCCTGGGAACCACGTGATCCTGCAAGAGGCTCCAAGGCTAAGAGGGGTGCTGTTGCCCACATCACGGTGGCCTCTGGGATCAGCCGCCAATAAGGTAACTTTCCCTTGCTTTTGGGGGCCATCGCCATCAGATGCACATTGTCGTCCATTCCCTTCTTCCTGTGGCCTGCTCAAGAGTTTGTTTCTTGCTGGTTCCCAGGCACCCAGCTCTCCTCCTCCTCTGCCTCTCCCCCTCCCTCCTGTCCGTGTGTCTCATCTGTGTCTGCCTCCTGGTTCCTTCCAGTGAGGCTGATCGCCATCAGCAGCCCTGACGGGAGAGCTCACAGTCTCCAGGGAGCTGGCTGAGGCTTTGGGGAAAGTGCCACAGGCAGAAGGGACAGCACATGCATGGCGTCTTTTAAAACCTGGAAGATTCTGGAATGTAGGAGGGGACAGGAGGCGGGACCTGGGGAGAGATGAAGAGAGGCAGGCTGGGGCCACACTGCACGGTTTTGAGGCCAAGGTCAGGGCCACAGAAGGAAGCCACTGGACGCCGTTAGGTGGGCATCACATAGCCTGGGTGAGGCTTAGGGCCCAGGCGTGTGGTTGCAGTGTGCACACTGGATCGGGGACAAGGGGAGGTGAGTGGGCAGAGACAAGGAGAGAAGCCCCCCCACGTGGTGCCTTCTCTCCTGGGTCTGCCTCACCCCCAGCCTGGGAGCCCCAGGAGGGAAAGGTCAGGTCTTGGGTCTCTGGGCTTGCTAGGGGAGGGAGGGAGTACATGCTGTGACCCCAGTAGTCAGACCTGGTGTCCCATATGTCTCAGTGCGGTGGGGCTGGAGGTGCTGTGCACAGAGCCTGTCCTCCCTCTGCAGGGAGGCCGCTGGGCCCCCAGAGGCTCCACTCTTCCGGCACCATCCTGTCCAGGGGCTGCTGCCTAAGCCTATTGCAACCGATGAAAACGAACACAACTTCAGGTTGTAGAAGGTGGTGATTTAATACTATTCAGTCAGCAGGGCAATTTATAAAAATGCAAAACCGCAGAGGGCAGGGGGGCTGGGCACTGGTCACCTTTCTGCAGTGTCCTTAGTTGACTGCTCCTCCCTGAACCAGCCGAGCAGTGCACCAGCTGCCGCCCCTGGCTGGGGGGGAGGGTGGGGGGACACTTGGCAGATGGTGTGGCAGGCTGATCGCACAAGGCGCCTGGTGCCTGGGGACAGGCCCGCTCACTGTGGTGGTTTCTTCCTCCCCAGATGCCCATTCACCAGAATCTCAAGGAGCTGCTGGCCGTCAAGGCAGAGCTGCAGAAGCGGGTGGAGGACCTGCAGCGGGAGGTGGCCATGCGCGCCTCGTCCTCGTCCGAGCGGGGCTCGTCACCGTCGCACTCGGTCACCCCCGTCCACACCTCCGTCTGACGGGGTGTGGAGGGCGGCACTTCCAGCGACTCCAGTGGGCAAGGATGTCCTGCCCAGTGGCCCAGGCGAGGGACCGCAGCTTGTGCTCTGCTCTTCTAGGCTTGGGCCCGACGTCCTCCCATTCTGGAAGGCACTTTCAGCCACTGACCGTTTGTGTGGCTAGGACCACTCCCACCGTTGTCAAGTGCTTTTTGTTCTGTGACCCGTGCCCCTCCTGCCGGCGGTTTGTGGCGGCGCCTATTGCACCTACCCCGTGAACCGCCCGCCAGTCCGGCCGCTGGGGACGGGGAGGGAGCATGGGGTGCGGGGCTTCAGGTCTCTCTCCAGTTCCTTGGAAGGTAAATCCTTCATTTTCAAACGCACCCCCGTTCACTTCCAGACCACGTGCCAGCCACGTGGCTTCCTTCAGCTCTTTGCTCCAACCTGAAAAACGTTTCAAACTGAACTACTGGGTGCGGGCAGACCCACCGCTGCCACCACGTCTCCCGTCCCCTTCATGCAAGGGGCCTCCTGCACCAGTTACTGCTGTGTACATAGAAGGCATTTTTAAGAAAGAGAAACCGGTCTTTATTTTCCTATGCCCTTTTTTTACGTTTAGACGAGGAGGCGTCCGCTTCCACGGGCTGGGCAAGCCCTTGCGCACAAAGCTCACGCCAACTTGATGTGGTACATCTGGCACGTGATTCGAACGGGGCCCTGGAGATGGCACAATGTCCTGTCCTCCCCCCAGACACCCGTGCTTGCCTCCCGGGCCACGGCACCGGCCCTTCCTTTACTGCCGCCAGCTGTGTGTGCCCACGCGAGCCTGCCCCATCCCGCAGCTGCCTGTCAGAAAGGTTTCTCGTTTTATAGAGACCCTGCGGCTCCGTTTGTTCTCGCCACCGCATGGCCATCATCCCCAGCTGCCCCCGCTCTGCCAGGTGCGTTCCCCAGCTCCGCTTGCTTGTGCGGCTGCATGGTGACCCTCGGCTTCCCTGGAGCTCCCCTGAGCCAGCGGTGGGGTGGCCCGGGGTGGGGTGGGGGTTCTGGAGCGGGCGGTGCCACCCTCCCCTGGAGGTGACCCCGAGACCCACCTGTGCGATTGAGAAGCAGAACAGACTGTTCTCCTGGAGTGTACCTAGCACAGAACTCTAAAACAACTTGAATACTGTTACCTAAGCAGTTCTTTTTGTCTTTTATTTAAGTGTACTAGAATGTAAAACCTTTATCGTTCCGATTTTTAAAAACTGGTACAGTATCGTATTTGCCTCATCTGATGTACTGTATTTTGATCTGTAATTAAAATAATATGTTTGCTCCGCGGTCTGGTTTTTTAAATTCCGATTTTTCCCTTGAAAACGACAAAACCTTCAATACCTGTTATTTTATGTGTCAAGCACAGTCAATAGACATAAAGTGCCTTTACGGGATTTAATTCATTTACTAAATCATAAACGCAGTCTCTCACGGCTTGAGTGTTTTGGCCCAACTGGGTAAGTACTCTGATTTTAACATCTGAAACGCTCCTCACACATAAGCCTGAGAAAATGTTGACCCCATGGGTCCGGGGACCCCAGAGTCAGGTGCCACTCCGAGGGGGCCGGGTGCTCTTTCCAGGCCCTGAGTCCTAGAGCCAGAAATGGGAGACTCCCAAGAAGCACCGGGTCCGTACCCCAAGTCTACAGCAGGCACAGGGGCCTTTTGGGGACCTTTCGCTGCCCCCCCGCGGGTCTCCCTTCTCGTAAGGGCCTAGGGTCCATGTCCCCCCTGCAGCAGTCACCGCAGCTGTGGTCCCCAGCGGTGACACTTGAGCCACAAGGCTGGGAGGGCTGCCTGCTGTGCCGGCCCCCCACCGGCCATGGAGACCTCCTTCAGTGAAGCTTCACCTGGCGGGTGTGCGTGCGAGGACTCGCCGCCGTTTACTATGTGGCCGGTGCGGCACACACGGGCGAGGACCCGGCGCCTGCCGCATCGCGCTCAGCTCTAGTGTCCGGCTGTGCTGTTTGTGAGCCAAGCCACGGGGTTAGGACAAGGGCACCGTCACTCCCAAACAGCCATTCTGCAGTACGGCTAGAACGAGCAAGGCGACGGCACACACCACCCCGGACCCCGGCCGGCTGTGAGGACGGCAAGCGTGGAGATGGCCTCCGCCAGTCTCCAGGCGGCCCCGGACACCGCCACCCCCGACAGTGGACCTCGCACAGGGCAAGTCCCTGTGCGGCTCCGGGCCCCAGCTCCTGGTACCGGAGGAGCTACCCAGGAGCCCGGACACCAAGCCATTCACCAACGGGTTACATGGGAGGACTCGAACCTTCTGGAGAAATGCCTCAGGCTGCGGAGGAAGGGAATAAGGTCACCTCCTCATCACGAACTCCCTCAAGAAAGAAGCCTCACTGGACAAAGGAAGTGCCTTCACGACACGAGCTGTTAGGTTCCATTTTGTTTAATGCAAACACAAGACAGTTGACAATTCACGTTGAAACACAAGCACACAAAAAGTACAGAGGATTCTGACCCAGTCTCCATTTCTTCTTCCTCGGACAAAGCGCACAGGCACTCCCAGCTTGGCGGGCCCCACGGCACCCCGCCAGCCAGCAGCCATGTGCCCTTCCTCCCGCGCTCAGCGCTCGGTCATCCACACTGCGCCCCCACCGCCCGGTTAAGCTGAAACGGGTCACATGTTCTCCACTGGCCCTTCTAGTTCCCGCGGGCTTCCACATCATCTGGGGCGGGCCTGGGGCCGTCAACGCAACGTTCAGAGTTCCAAGAGGCAACGCTTCTGCGGGCATCGGTGCCCAGCACCCCGAGGGGCGGAAGCTCTGCAGTCAGATGACCCAGTGACTTTCCAGGCCCGGCCCGTCACCAGGAGGGCTGGGTGCTGGGGTACGGCCGTTCTCACAAGGGAGTGCAAAACAGGTCTCTTAACTGAAGTCGCTGCTGTGAGCGAAGGGACTCGCACGCAGCACTGTACATCACAGCGGTGGGAGTGCAGGGTCTCCGCCGCCACAGAAGCCTCCCTGTTAAGTCATAGCTGACAACGGGGGGCAGGGGCACAGCACACGCAGCCTCCTTCCGGGCCACTGTGACTGACTTCTCGGACTTCCCCGTGGCAGGGAGAGAATTTACCACGCACGGCCACTGCCTTGTTTTTCTTCCTTCGAAATGCCTCGGGGACCTCGCGGGGCAGCCATCTGGACTGGGGGAGCCGCCCAGCGCTGCCCTGATCCCTGCCCAAGTCCTACCACCTAGGACACTGGGTGGCGGCAGGCCAGGGATCCAGAAACCCTCTACAGCTGCCCAGCACCAGCCAGGGGTGGGGCCGTCGGCCCTCACCGTATGTGGCAGGGATGAGCCCGGCCAAGTCGACGACCCCGAGGCTCTACGCAGAGGGGTCTCCTCAGTGCCACACGCCCGCCTCGCACGCACACGGTCGCGCTGGGGGAAGGGGCCTTTCAGGGCCACGGACACGCACGGACATGGGTCTGCGGGGCAGCCTGGGGATGCGCGCTGCAGCAGAGGACCATCCCATGTGTGTTTTTATGACGGCTGCGAACCCCGGCACACGAGGCGTGTGTTCTACAACCTGCAGGGCCCGCCCCGATTCGACCATTTTGTTACAAGTTGGACTCGCCTCATCCCAGCTCAGCCGACGCCAGGGCGCTAACACACAGCCCATACGATGCTTGGGGCTGTCAGCGGCGAAAGGGGGCGCGTGCAGTCGTATCTATAGGACCCCGCCTTCCTGCCGACCTATGCTTCTGGAAGTGCTTTTGGACACGACACGCTGATTATCAGTGGATGGTGGCTCCACAGTTTAGCTCGGCCTCAGCAGAGCTCCCGGGGACAGGACCACATGGGGGCCAAATGGAACATTCCAGGAAGCTAGCCCAGACCAGACAGCTCCGGGCCGGGTGACAGACCAGGCCCTGGGTTCTGGTATTTAGCGCAGTGAGCATAACACCCCAAAGGCTCTTCAGAACAGGCCAGGCAGGGGAAGTGGACACACGGACTCAGCCAGGTTTCAGTAAACCAAGGACACATCCCTTTCCCCATCCCCCTGCCACGTCAAATACAATTTCAAGCAAACAACATGCATGCTTCCAGCTTCGCTGCTCGTCCTTGATGTCTGTAGCTTTTGCGGCTTAAACAAGAATACAGAGTGGAAGGGGAACACTCATTTCAATGCATCAACAATTCCTAAAAACTAATCACATCAGCTGGGAGACCGCACCAAGAATTAGACCCGAGAGTCACAGCTTCCTACTTGTCCAGAAGGTTCCTAAACTCTCAGGGTAGGACTATCCAAACATGCATGTTTGCCCTTCAAGAAATGAAAGGCCACCACTTGGAGCAGCTGTCTGGGAGCCCAGCAGTGTAAACGCTGGGACCAGAAAGAAGGGCTGAAAGTCGCCCTCCCCCCCCACTGCCCCCGGACCCCCTGACCCCCACTAGGTGGTGTGTGTGTGTGTGTGTGTGTGTGTGTGTGTGTGTGGTTACCTGATGCTCGCCGGTTTGCTCCAAGCAAACCAGGTTCTTGCTGGATCCCTATGCATAGCACTTGGAGGCCACTGCCAGGGCCACGTTGAGTCAGCGCAGCGTGTGGGGGATCACATGACCCTGGGTTCAGAGTCTCATCCCCTGAGCAAAAAGGTCCTCCCGCCCTCCCTCATCTCGGTCTCCCCAGCCCCCAGCTCCTTCAGGCCCGGGGACAGGCTGGCCCTGGGACAGGCTGGCCCTGGGGGGTGGTGGCCCGGCGACTCCAAGGCTGGTGCTGGCTCTCCGCCAGAGCCGGCTCTCGGATTCCACACCGAGCGTCTTCAGGGCCCCTGTGGCGGGGCCGGCATGGAAGCCAAACTCACACACACCCACAGCTCTTCTGGAAAACTTAAGACGAGAAGCCAATGACGACAGCGAAGCAGTACGGCAGCTGGGGGTCCAAAGGAAACAAGGAGCCGGTCGCAAGCAGTGGCACCATGTCCGCCCGTTGTGGAGCGGGGCCCTCAGATCCGGGGCGCGTCGGGGGGCGGTGGCTCCGCAGACTGCGTTTGCAGCGTCAGGTATTTCACTAGGGAGAGAAGGCAGCGGTCAGGAGGGCGTCATTTCCACCCCGCACGGAAGGTACACATGCACGATCAAGCCCCTGCCGGGGCGGAAACCTGCTTCCTGGCCTGTTGTGTCCAGAGGCTGGTGCAGCTCAGCCGCTCCTAGCCAGCCTCCCCTCTCGCACGCCCTCCATCCCCAGAGAGGAGGAGGAAGCTAGGCAAACCCTGTAGACAGCTCAGCCTCTGTTTCCTCATCTGGAAAATGGGAATGCTCCCGACTGGGCTTGCTGGCCAGTGGTAGAGGTGCGTGAAGGGCTCGCTGTTTTAAGAATTACTACAGCGAGGGGGGCACCGCGGGGGCTCCGTTGGTTGAGTGTCCGACTCTTGCTCGCGGCTTGGGTCATGATCTCATGGTTTCGTGAGATCAAACCCCGTGTCGGGCTCCGCACGGACAGCACGGAACCTGCTCGGGATTCGGTCTCCCTCTCTCTGTCCCTCCCCAGCTGTCTAACTAAATAACCATAAAAACAAATAAAAATTACTACAGCGAATGCCACCATAGAGTCTGTTTTCCTCTGTTTTATTCCGGAACCACAGAGTCCAGTCAGTATAGGACTTCCAGGTACCCGGCCTAAGCAGCAGCGTGCGCCACTTTTCCCCGTCACCCAGCACCGGGCCTGTCCCCACTGCCGCCTCCAGCTCCAGTGACAACGCACCCCCGGGCTCCCCGCCCACTCCTCGTCTTCACCAGCACATTGTATCTGCGACACGTATCTGCCTTGAGAGGCTGGCCGCTCCTCATGAAGCCTCCAATCGCCAGGGGCTCCTGCACCCAGAAAGTGCTTCGGTGCAGGAGGGGCAGGCAGGGAGGGACAAGGGCTGGGATAAGAAGCTGTGTTTTAGCCGAGTTCCCTCGGGCCTGTGGCAGTTTTCAAGATGAAAAGTTACGGGTCTAATTTGAAGGATGCCCCGCAGCTCCGTTGGCATTTGTGTGGGAGGCATCGGTTGTCGCCGGCAGGGAGCACGGTCCCAACAGTGTGCAGAAGTCCCTGACGTGCAGCAGACAGCCCTGGCTGTGGTCCCTGTGCCCCTGGTGGCGTGAGGCTGGAGACTGCCTCATCAAGGGCAGAGCACAGCAACCCCTGGGACCCCGTAGCCCCCTGCTCTGGCTGGAAATTCTAGAAACGGACGCCTCTGTGCTTCCCTAGCAAAGTTGTGCTTAGTGCCTGGCCCACTGACTAGCGGCCCTTCAGCAAGAGACCATGAGCCCTAAGTTCTCACCTTGGGGTTCCTCACTCACAACGGCTTCCAGGTTCTCTCCCTTCACGTAGTCTGCATTCAGACCCTCTGCAAAGGGCAAAGGGCAGAGTTGGTGACTGACATAGAACCAAAGGGCCCCCGACCAAGCCCAGGGGCTCTCATCATTGTCCTCAGAGATGACACAGGGCAGTGGCCTCTGACCGCCGTCCCCGTAGGGCAGGCGCTACCCCGTGTGAGACCAGGGACAGGACAGAAGGCACTGGATGGCAGGGTCAGCACTACCCACGGGTCCACATGCCAGCCCAGGGGCCAGGAGGGTGGGGAAGGACAAGCGCCACATGAGTGACTGACAGATGCAGGGTGGAGGGGCAGATGGCTGAACAGGGCTTCCGCCTCTGGCCTTCCCAGCAACACCTGCAGCTCGGGGCCAACAGGCTCCTCCAGCCCAAAGCGGTACATGCTGTCCCCACCCTAGTGCAGAGGAACCTGGGCCCACCCACCGCTGCTCTGGTCAGTCCTATGGCCTTTCTCCCCAGTGACTTCCATGAGGGGCTTGGGGACTCTCCAAGCATCCGCCACATGCCATCACTCGGGTCCCTGAGAGGCACCATGTGAGTGCAAGAGCCCGAACTCGGGACTCAGAGCGAACCCCGGCCTGCTGCTACTTAGGCAGAGTCAGGAGTCCCTGTTGTGGCCCAGGAGAAGCCAGGGACCAGAAGCCTGTAGCAGAGCTCAGGGCCCATGGGAAAATTGGGCCATGGTTCTCAGCCACCACACGACTGAGCAGGTGCCAGTCTCCGTCCCGCTGCCGCCCCAGGCTACACCCAGGCTCCATGCCTGCCTGCCCCAGTGCTTGCCGAGCTTAAGGTAGACAGCACACGGGCCCGGGAGGAATGTGGGCACTGCTCGGTGGTGGGTGTGGCTGGGCCACCATCTGGGACAAGGCAGGTGAGGGACCCAGGGAAGCTGTCTTCTGCCCGTGGGAAGCCCTGTCGGTGTGCTCCTCAGCGATGACCACCAGTGGGCATCTGGGTTCCCGACGGGGCCCCTACCCACCAGTCCATGCGTCCCTGCAGCCAGACCCACTTGGTCTGGGGACCTGGCCGGCACCCTCCCAACACACACCAGGGCAAGCTAAAGATGGTTATGGTCACAGCCAAGTCGGTGAGTGCCAGGGAAGGGGTCAGGGTAGACAGCAAGAACAGCGGGGTGGGGAGGGTGGACGATGAGGAAAATGAAGTCAAAGCATGTCATTACCTTGACCTTCTGCTGCATCTGAAGGCAAGACACAAAGCTTAGGACTCTGGAGTACCTCGCCCCCAGCAACAGACCACAGGGGCCTCCTGTGAAACGCACTGACCCTGTCACTGTAACTTTGTCACTGAGGGCAGAGACAGAAAGCAGAAAGTCCCCCAAGTTTGGGCCCCTCTGGTGGCAGCTGAGGCTGGAGGTCCCCGAGAACCATGACGGGGACAGGCTCTCCTAGTAGCCACACGCCATCTCCCTGGGGCTTCCTGGTGATGGGGTGCAGGACGGTTTCTGCTCTGCCTTTCCTGACCTGCGTGCAGCTGTGGCCATGGCCACCGTGAGTAGAGGCTTGGCGGAAGGGGTGGGAATGGCAAGTCCTGGCCCCCAGCTTCTCAGGGAGCTTAGTTACTCCACAAACATCCATGGGCTGCTCCCAGTTCCAGCCCAGCCTCGGTGCCAGGGACACATCAGTGGACGAAGCGCACACAGTCCTGAGAGTGATGGGGGTGGGGGCAGGGCAGTCACTGCCACAGGAACCAAGCCCAATTCCGCCCCACCGGCTCCACACCCGGCCGGCGGGGGGCGCCGTGGCCGCACTCGGCACAGGCTGCCAGGGCAAGCAAGTTTCCTGGGAAAGTGCCCAGGCCCAAGGATCAGAGCAGCCAGGTGAGGAGGGGGAACAGCGGAGCGCGGAGCACTCAGGGACAGGAGTTTGGCTGTGGGGGGCATAGGTTGCCGGTGTGGCTGGAGCTAAACCAGGAAAGGCTTTCGGTGGCCAAGCTCAGGGGCTGGACCGTGACCTGGAGGTCAGCGGGGAACATGGGAGGTCCAGGCAGAGCTGCCCCCTCTGGCCGCTCAGAGAAGACCGTGGGGGAGATCGGGGCAGGCAGGAGGCTGACGGGACCATCCACATGGAGGACAGGCAGACCTGGCCCTGGGCAAGCAGAGGCCATGGCAGTGGCGATGGATAGGGGCAGCCCCAGAGCAGACGTGCACAGGGGGCACCAGCCACAGGGGGCAGGGGGCCCACTGATGTGAGGGGAACATGGGGGCCAAGGAGGAGGCCTGAGAGATGGAGTGAGGCTGCCCTCACAAAGACGGTAAACCCGGGTCCTCTCGCAGTGTTGCCACACAGCTTTCAGGTGTCCCCAAATTGGACTGGCACTTGCCCTTGGTGCCCCTCCCCCCACAGCCCCAAGACAGACATGCGGATGCACAGTCACGAGGCGTATTTGCTGCTTTCCCCCTTCCTGTCCCTACCTCCTGGCACCTGTGTGGGACACAGTGCTTCCCGTCAACGGTCCTCCGATGCTGTTCCCTGTCTCCTCGCTGATAAAGCGAGGATGCCCTCAGACCCAGTGGGGCGAGGACCCCCATCCGGCGCCGGGGAGCACCAGGTAGGTGGGGAGCACACAACGCCTGGGAAGCCGTTCATACTGTAACCATGGGCCCAGCTTTTAGATAGGTTCCCCGTTGGGGTGTCTGGGTGACTCAGTTGGCTGAGCGTCCGACTTTGGCTCAGGTCATGATCTCACGGTTCGTGAGTTCGAGCCCCACATGAGGTTCTGTGCTGACAGCTCACAGCCTGCTTCAGATCCTCGGTCTCCCCCTCTCTCTGCCCCTTCCCCTGCTCATTCGCTTTCAAAAATAAACATTAAAAAATGTAAATAGTTTCTCTTTTATCCAACCTGCTTCCTAACGTCTTCACGCCATCTCCTGGCATATGAGCCATCTTGCCCAGCTTTGATAACAACGGACTGTACGCATCTCGGTGGTGGGGCAATGCCATACCACAGGAAACAGTGGTCCCCCAGTGCCATGGCCAAGTCCTCAGCCGTGTGGAACCTATGCATGGGACTTTATTTGGAAAATGGTCTTTGCAAGTGTGATTAAGTTCAGGATCTCAGGATGAGACACAAAGACACCGGAAAAGGCCATGTGAAGGCCGAGGCAAAGATTGGAGGGATGCAGCCATAAGCCGAGGGACACCTGGAGCTACTAGAAGCTGGAGGAGGCAAGGAAGGATCCTCCCCTACAGCCTCCAGAGAGCACATAACCTGCTGATGCGTTGATCTCAGACTCCCGGCTTCCAGAATCATGAGGGAATGAATAGATTGTGTCATTTTAAGCCAACTGGTTTCTTTGCTTTTGAACTAGGACAAGGGATAGCTCTAAGGACAATCCAGCTTCTAGTTCAATACTCCTTCTCGACACTTTCCTGTGGACAGTACTTTACAGCCAAGCTGGTGGGTCCATGGTGGGTCAACAGGATCTCAAGCAGGGCGACCATGAACAGTTGTGCAGGTTGTGCACGGAGACATGAACGGTGCCCCAGGAGTATTGCTGTGCACAGCCTGTGTAACTGTATGTGGTAGCCCTGGTTAAGAATATTGTACAAGAGCAAGGGAAGCAAATATGATTGCCAGAGGAAAACCAGGTAGACGCTTCTGCAATATGTACATCTAAGCATTCTGGGGACCAAGTTCATTTGCTGGGAAGCTTGGCCCCAGGCTACAATTAAGGGCAGAGGCCGCCTCACAGGACATGCTCCTAAGCTTCAGAAAAGAGGAAAGCCATGCTTGAACCAGGCCCTCTCACTGGAACTAAAAATCGTGTGTTTTAGAGATACACCCTCAGCAAGGAGGGACACATCAGAGCTGTATTTGTGAAAGCAGCCAGGGTGCTCTTCTCACTCCCCCTCCCCGGCATCCCCCTCCGCCCTTCCCCCCCCCCC